AAAAAAAAAAAAAATCATCAAAGAAATGGCCACCAAAGTTAAAAATTTTCTAAAGCACAGCAGATTCCAAAATACATCTTAGTTTGGAAAACATTGCAGCAATCAAATGAACACTAAATCCAGACTAATCCCCACTTCCAAAAAGTCAAAGTAGAGAAGAAGAAACTTATTAATTGCAATGAATAAAGCCAGTGAAAAGTGCCAGCACAGAGGGACAGCTTAGGCGCTGTGAAGGTTCAGAGGAAGTTATTTCCAACATTTGAACTGAACATATAAGGATGGTCATGTTTACACGATAAAGACTCTTGTCAGAAAAGTCAATGCTAGTAAATGCATAGAGGTGAGAAAATGGGAGGTATTTAGGAAGAGAATGAAATAACTCCTCCACGTGTATATTATGTGCAGTGGGTATAGATCGGAACAGCAGTGAAACTGGAGCTGGACAGTGAAAGAGTGTTTCCTGTGCCAGAGTGAAGAATCTGTGGCTTATCTGGCAGGTTTCTGAGCAGAGTAGTCTATGTTACTGTGTTGCAATGGCATCATTTGCAGGCAGGATGGTTTGTTTTCAAAGTTCATAAATTCTCCATTTCCAAACAGCTTCATAAATCTACTCCTACATAAACAAATACATACTACATACATATGTTTCAAGCATTTTGAAGCTACACTTGATGTTGATACAATCTTTCCAGCAGGTATTTTACACAGTGCTGTAATTTCTTTCAACACTTTTCACAGTACTTGACAGATACTCTCTCAATACCTGCATTATTGGCTGGTTGTGGGGGCTTACACCTGTAATCCTTGCACTCCGACAATGAGGTAGGAGGATCACTTGTGCTCAGGAGTTCAAGACCAGCCTGAGCAAGATCAAGACACTGTCTCTACAAAAAGTAGAAAATTAGCCCTGTATGGTGGCCCACTGCTTGTGGGCAAGAGGTTCAAGCAAGAGGAGTTGATATTAAAAAAAAAAAAAAAAAAAGGGAAAAAGAACAAATACCTGTTTTATCTAGAATATAGCACTCTATCAATAAAAGGTTTCATTTAAATAATCAAAAGTGGGCAGTGCCTGTGGCTCAGTGAGTAGGGCGCCAGCCCCATATACCAAGGGTTGCAGGATTGAGCCCAGCCCCGGCCAAACTGCAACAAAAAAATAGCTGGGTGTTGTGGTGAGCGCCTGTAGTCCCAGCTACTCGGGAGGCTGAGGCAAGAGAATCGCCTAAGCACAAGAGCTAGAGGTTGCTGTGAGCTGTGACAATCTGGCACTCTACCAAGGGCAACAAAGTGAGACTCTGTCTCTAAAAAATAAAATAATAAAATAAAATAAAATAATGAAAAGTGTCCAGCCTAGGCAATATAGCAAGACATGGTCTCTTAAAAAAAGCTTAGAGGCTGGGCACAGAGGCTCACACCTGTAATCCTTGCACTCTGGGAGGCTGAGGCAAAAGGACCCCTTGAGCTCAGGAGTTTGAGACCAGCCAAACACAAGAGCCTGTCTCTATCAAAAATAGAAAAATGAGCTGGGCATAGTGGCAGAAGCCTGTGTAGTACCAGCTACTTGGTAGGCTGAGGCAAGAGGATTGTTGAAGCCCAAGAGTTTGAGGTTGCTGTGAATTACCATGATGGCATGGCCCACTACCCAGAGCAACAGAGACACACCGTCTCAAAAAAAAAAAAAAGCTTAGAACTGAAGAATCAACATAATAGTCTTTTGTCCTGAATGAATAATAATTTATGTTAATTACGTAATTTATTCCATTAAAGTATAAAAAGGAAGGTTGATAAGCATAATTTTTAGTTTGATAATTTCAGTAATTTCTATTATATCCTGAGACAGCTACATGTGAATTATTGCAGTAGACTTCTAAGTTTCAGTGGGTCTATGAATGTATTCAAATTTGATAGTTTCGTACAAATAATGAAGTTTAAGTACGGCTTATGTTAAATACACCCTCCCTCTTTTGCTCGAATTTCTGTTCTGTTTTCTGTTCACTCCAGCTATTTCCGCTGATGGAAGGAACAACACTACTGGCCAAAAATGACATGGACGGGTCCAGAGCCTGCAAAGGCTCCAAAATGCCACCGACACTGAGACCACAGCAGCAATTTTCCAAAGCCAGGACGCGGTTACCAAAGAGACTTTAACGTTCTTGACTGGGACACAATTGCTTCAGAGGACTGTAAAGTGACACAGTAGTGTGGGAATTAGGTTTGTAGTGTAGTTTAGGCCAGGCATCTCTGGAGGGCTTGTTGACCTGAGTCCAAGTTCCTCAAACCCCTAAGGGTAGCAGTAGCTGGTGGTTTACACAGGATGTCTGGCACCTGGCAGGCTCAGGGCTAGGATTCT